AAGCATAATGGAAAACACACTACGGGGTATACCAGGGGTTTGCCCCTATTTTGATGATCTTAATTGCTGGAGACTCTACACACAACTTAGCTGAGAGATTAAGGGCTGTCCTGCTAAGGTTCAGGCAAACGGGCCTCAAACTTAAGGACAAATGTAAAATTGGGGTGCCTTCTACAGATTTTCTCGGATTCAAAATTGATGCTACCGGGATTCACCCTGCTGAATCCAAATTGAAAGCTATTTTGCATGCTCCTAGGCCAAAGTCCAAGGCCAAACTACAGGCCTTTCTGGGCCTTCTGAACTTCTACAACTCCTTCCTTCCAAACAAGGCTAGTGTAGCCGAGCCTCTTCATAGGCTCTTGGACAAACAGGCAGTGTGGCAGTGGTCACAAAAACATGAAGCAAGTTTCAATGAGGTTAAGGCCTTACTCACTTCTAACAGTGTGCTTACACATTTCAATGAATCCCTTCCTGTGTGCATCGCTTGTGATGCTTCTCTTTATGGGGTGGGAGCCGTACTGAGCCACCTCAGACCAGATGGAACTCAGGTTCCTGTTGCATATTACTCCAGAACCTTGTCTTCTGCAGAGCGAAATTATGCTCAGATTGACAGGGAGGCTCCCCAAATCATCTCCCCCAGGATGCTGAGATGGTCTATCTTTCTGTCTGCCTATGATTTTTCCTTACTTCACAAACCTGGGAAAGAAATGGGCCATGCTGACGGCCTCAGTAGATTACCCCTGCCAGTAGTAGAAGCTGACCCTGCACCAACAATCAATATCCTCTCCATTCAGGCCATGCTTGAGTCCCCTTTAGATGCAAGGGATGTGGCTGCTGAATCAGCCACAGATCTCACACTTTCGCGTGTCCTTTCTTGGGTTTTATCTGGATGGCCAGAGAGCTGTCCAGGCACTGAGTTTCAGAGTTTCTGGTCCAAAAGGAACGAGTTGTCCACCTTCCAGGGTTGTCTGCTTTGGGGGAGCAGAGTTGTCATTCCTGCCTCAATGAGGACTAGGGTCTTAGGTTCCCTCCACAAGGGTCATCCTGGCATTGTACGTATGAAGGCGCTTGCGCGCAGCCATTTGTGGTGGCCTGGGTTAGACAGAGACATTGAAGCTAAGGTGCATGCGTGCCCTGAAATGCCCCAAGCTCCTGTACATAGATGGGAGGAAACACAGTCTCCATGGTCTAGGGTGCACATTGACTACGCTGGGCCCTTTCAGGGTCAATTCTTCTTGGTCCTCGTTGATAGCCATTCAAAATGGCTTGAGGTTGTACCTGTCTCTTCCACCACCACTGCAAAGACTATTCAAGTACTGAGGGGGATTTCTGCTGCACACGGGCTTCCTGATGTCCTCGTATCTGAAAATGGCCCTCAATTCACTTCTTTTGAATTCCAAGCTTTCTTACAGGCCAACATGACTCGTCATGCCACCTCTGCGCCTTTCCACCCGTCCACCAATGGTATGGCTGAACGCATGGTTCGCATCACCAAGGACGCCTTGAAGAAAATTACCTATGGAGACTGGCATCACAGGTTGGCTGACTTCCTCCTTTCTTATCGCACTACACCTTCCACTTCTACCGGGAGGAGTCCAGCTGAACTTCATTGGGGGCGCAAACTGACTACCAAGCTTGACCGGTTGCACCCGGACAGACTACCTTCCACCATCACACACCCCAGGGCACCTAGACAACTGCTTGTGGGTGCCCCGGTTTGGACTCGTAACTACGGGCCTGGTCATTCATGGGTCCCTGCCACTGTATCCAGGGTCACAGGTCCTTTGTCCTACGAGGTGTCCCTGGACGACGGTCGTGTCCTACGATGACACATCGACCAGCTCCGCACTAGACGGGACCTTCCCACTGAGACTCCTGGATCTTTTCCGGGGGGGGGAGGGGGACCCCTTTGGGCAAAGGGAAGAGTGCGGGCTGCCGCCTATCATTAACGAGGGAGCTACAGACAGCTCATTCCGAGATTCCACGAGTGCTCCAAACAGGAATCCATGGAGCCCAACTAGAACTCAGGCACCAGTGCCTACTCCAGCCAGGGAGTCACCCCGGGGGGCATAATCACTACTCACCTGCATTACTCAGTACTCCATTCAGGGAGGATATCCGGGAGCGTCCAAACAACCCACACCCTGCAAGAGAGCTGGCACACATTCCGTCTAGTTGGCCCAACACTACCCCTGTCCCTAGAAGGGGGCAAGCACACAGGGAGGTGGTCGAGGAACCAAATCCCGACTACAACACCTCTGACATCACTCAGGGGACAACTGAGTTTTGGAACAGCACTGAAACCCCAACAAGCCTGGGGACAGAACGGGAACACGGGGAAAGACAACCTCTTGACAGGTCTAGGACAGACCTTGGAGGTTCTACAGAATTGCCCAACAGTGACAGTCACTTAAGAGGGCCAGAGAGCCTGCAGCTAGGCAGGACAACCAGGTCAAACAGAGAAAGAAGCCCTGGCCTGACAAGCCCAGTGGGCAAGCAAGCAGGCCAGGCATTGGAGCACAGTCATTGGGAATCACCAGGGTTTAGCAAGGGGGACAAGCATACACCACCCCTCAGTCAAGGGGTACTTGGAAGGTACCCAGAAGTCAGGAGGTCACAGAGAGCTAGAAGATCTCCTAAGTATTTAGAAGATTTTGTAACCCTATTGGCAAAACAGAGTTAACAGAGAGTATTCCTGTACACATAGGAAAATAGAACACTAGGGAACAATAGAAGCAAAGGGGACAATTGGTACAAAGTTGTATGGGTACCACACTCGTATTGGGTTGTATATTATTATTGTATGATCATAGTCTTAGCCGGGGGGGGGGGAAGGGGTGTTATGTCCTGAGCCTGTGGAAGCAGGCTCGGGGCATTGTAATGGTCCTGGGCAGGTGCAAGCTGCCTGGGACCAGACTGGCTGTTGCCAGCACTCGCGCGCATGCGCGGGTGTGAGCGCGCCAAATGTTACAGTTTGGCCCGGGAATTGCCTATAAAAGAGGCAGGAAGATTTGGGCATTGTTGGCGTCTTGTAACTAGTATGCTGAACAGAAATAAAGAGTTCCTGAGAACTACAACTGCTTCTCGTGTCATTGCCATTTCGCGAAGGACTTAACAAGGTTAGATGTTAATGCTTCATTCTACTGCAACAGAGGACATCAATGCCTTTTCTTTTCTTTTTCCCTTGTCCCCCCTCATTGTTTCCCCTTCTTCCTCCCCCCCGTGTCCTACTATTTACTTTTATATTTTTGTATTTTATTCTATAATTTAATACAGGTAATCCCCCAGGTACAAACGTTTATTTAGCGAATTTTCACAAAAACAAATTAATTCAGAAAGGGTACTTATGTTAGAAAAGTACGAGCAAACTGCAAGCAAAAAGAGGCCTGTGTAGCTATGTGACTTGAATTTAGTCCCTGCTGCAGCCGTGGCCATTTTGAACTCTGTGACTTGCCTGGGTGTTCGGCTTACAATGCAGGCAGGGCTTTTTGTTGCTGTTGTTCCTGGTCACATGGCCAAACAAGAGCAGAGCCAGTGCTGATTTGTTTTTTTTGTTAGTGCTGGTGAAGAAACTGCTGCTGCTTGGGCTTCAGGACTAAGTACTTACTTACTATTGTATTTTTAAGTACAGTACTTGTAGAAATGCTAGCCAGCCTCCTCATAAAGCACTTTATAATGTTGTGTTTCTTTGCTTTTATTTTGGAAATTAGCATATATTACTGTAGTTTGTAGGTTTTAAATTGAAATTGCCTCCAGAAGTTGTGGGTGCCCTGTTACTGAAAACTTTTAAGAAGAGACTGGTTTGGCGTTTATCAGAAACAGTGCTTTATTTGTAAAAAAAAAAAAAAAAAGTGCCGGAACTCACACATGTCATACAACCCACCTTGCCTACCCTACAAGGTTCCATCCAAAAAAGGTGCCGGAACTCCGTTCTGGGCGTTCTATGACAAAAGAAGCCCTGATCAGAAATATAGCATTCTCTTGTGAGAGCAGTGGGTTAGACTAGATCAGGGATGAACAAACTGCTGGCCCACGGGCCAGATGCGTCATAACAAAATCACGCCCACCCCATTGCCAGCAATGGGGAAAAAATTCCGATATGTCACACCATGTCACGTGACATCGCGAGTTTGACATGCCTGGACTAGATGATCGCAACACCCTTTCCATTTCTGTTACTGTTGCAAGGCAACAGTTCTGTAAACCCTCCCCATCTCCCTCTGAATGCCAGGCTGGAGACTTAAGCTAATTAGTGGCAACTGCAAAAACCTTTGCAAAAGCAGATGGAGCCTGCTTGCAGGCATTTAGTTCCTGAGCGGAAGCAAACAGCTGATCAGCAGCAGGCAGCAGCAGGAAGACCTCTCAGTTCAGGCAGAAATAGTAAATCATATCTTAGTTCATTTAACAATCCATTTGATTTAATTAATGAATTTGATTTTAAAAATTTGTAAAATTAAATTCGATTCATTTGACAAATTTTTTGACTTACGAAACTAACAGGCAGGCTCCATTAGGTTTGTACCTTCAGGACTACCTGTAAAATGTTACAAACCATTAAAAAAAAAAAGGAAAAATGTACCAGTTTTAATTTCTTCAGTGGCTGAATCACTTTCCCTTTGCACTGACAAATGTATGATGAATTTATCCCTATCCAGTGGTGAGATTCAAATATGTGAACAATCGTTCTCTGTGTGGATGCCGCTTCTGGAAGTCCATTCTGGGCTTGGGCAAAAAAAAAAATTAGCTACCGGTTCTGCTGAAGTGGTGCGAACTGGCTGAATCCCACCACTGTCCATATCTATTAATATGCACCACAACCTTGGTGGTCAGCTGGCTGGTCAGCCCTTCTTTCTCTCTCCCTCTCCTGTCTTTTTTGTACTCCTTGCCTGTCTCAACAATATAGTGATTCTAATAGGAATTGGGGGGAACTGGCCCTAATAGTTCACTCATTTTAAATGGAAGAAAACACAAATCTCCAATTAAACAGATGCTTACTGTACCTGAATATCCATTGCTGATGCCAGTGTTTCTTTCACACTCCAGGACACAGAAAAATCACCTCGCTGAATAGTTTTGTGTACAATATCATTGTCATTTACCACAGTCCCCAGTTCAATGGGCAATCCCATCTTCTGTGCAAGGCACATTGCCCTAAGCCATTATGTAAGGTCTGCACAGAAAAAGATGCAAAATTATCAAGTTTGTGACACCAAGTTAAGAGATGTAGTACTTCAGGATATTAAGTACTGGTCAGTTTAAAAAATTGTATGGCTGCAATAATACAATATATGATAGCTGGGAGGTCCTTGAAATGTGTTCAGATTATAACTTTCAACTCAACATCGAGTGGGAATTCTGAGAGTTCCAATCCCACTTAATAAACGCATAGTACTATAGGAAATTTTCAGCTAATTTATGGAAGGAGCAGTGTACTTCTAACTTTCTGTATGCATTTTTTTCTTCACCATACTCTTTCATTATCCCTACTTTCAAAATATATATATATATATGAAGCAGGACAAAGTGACATTTTTGTATGTATGTACAACCTTAACTGAATTGTGTTAAAGATACACATTACTGCAACAATTTTATTAATAATTGTGAAGATGCATTGTGTAAACATATCTAAATCAATATAATAAAATGGATGAAATTTTTCCAACTACATTTGTTCTTTCAACAGTCAAAATTCAGGATCAAATAGTTTTCCCCTTGAAATATCACAATCTTTCTCTTAACATGAGAAATGCTGATGGTGCAGTAGCTGCAGGAATATGAGGATACATGTTCGATCAGCAAAGGAGCTTATTATTGCTTCTTCTGAAAGAGGCCAACTGAAACCTCATTGGTAGGCTCAGGCATGATCTGGATCTTTTGGTTCTTCAGAGCTGCCTCTCTCATCTTGTAATACATAAATTCATTCTGCTGGAACATGCGCAGCTCCATCTCAGACTGAATACGCATGGCCTAAATGAATGTAAAGAAACTGCAAGTTACAGGAAATTCAATTTTCGATGTACCATCCTAATTGTAGTCTGTGGAGGAAATCCTTACTTTCAAAGTTAAGTCTTTATCACAGACAGCTATTTTTATCACAGTACTCTGTGCAAATCAATAAATATTCTCCACATTCTACTAATGCTATTAATTATGTCTTTATATTATTTCAATAAATGCTAGTCATGTAGAACACGAGGGAATTATAGCTAATTCTTGACGTAGACAAATTTCTACATAGATTTATTTCCAACAAATTTGACAGTAAGTATCAAAAATAAAAAAATATTAATTACATGATAATTTCTGAATCTAAAAAATATTTCATCACACTTGAAAAACTTACTTCCAGATCTTTGGTAATTGGATGAGTAGGTCCATGTGTCACCAAAAGAATAGCATAAGCTTTGCAAAGCATCCCATGGCCTGCTTCAATAAGCCCAGCATGCCAGTGAGTGACCCCAGCTCTCATGAGGGCCATCCCAAGCTGGGCATTTTTGGGATGGTAAAGTTTTCTGAGGGCAAAAGAGAAGAGGCACATTGTACATGGTGCAAAAAAATTTTTTTTAAAAAAAGAACCTTTATTTTAAAACTTCTCATAGAATAAAAGACAAAGCAAAAGAGGGAGAGAGGGAAGAAGGAAGGAAGGAAGGAAGGAAGGAAGGAAGGAAGGAAGGAAGGAAGGAAGGAAGGAAGGAAGGAAAGAAGGAAAGTTAAAAAATACAATAACTTCCAATCTTCTTTTCAACAAGAGTTGCAATCTTATAATCCCTCTTAGATAATATTCAAGTCCCTTCAGCCCTTCATGTACTCTCCTATAAGTGCAAGTTTTAAGTAAATGTGTCTGCATCTCCAAGGAGCAGGTCAAAGAGTGAGGAAGCAGTAAAAAAGGGAGACGTCTGCTGAGTGAAGTTTGCTGTTTTAAAAATGATATTATGAATAGCTAGTAATATACAGAACACAAATATGCAAAGAAAGGGGACATTAATAACATACAGGTAACCATCCACCATCTGTTTTGAATAACCAGAAGCCTCATTGAAGAGCTGGAGGTAAGAGAGAACTTCAGACAAGATGCTAAGAATTCGCAGCAGATAAATATTGGTTTCTCCCAGCACTGGTTCCTGCTTTGCTAGACACTCTCGGCACAATTTCACCACCTGTCACCACAAAGAACAATATAATCAAAAAGAGGAACTGAATAGAACAAAGAAGTCTGCCTCTAGAAGGCAGAGCTCTAATGAAAGGTCGATCTCAAGTGGGAATACGAGTTGTTTTTGTAACCAGTCCCCACCCCCCTAATTTCAATGCTTTATAATTCATTGAATTATAATTCAATGCTTTATAATTCATCTGGATTAAATGTAAAGAAATCGTTCCATGTTGGTGAAATAATAATGCAAAAGCACTGGGTACAGTTCTATACTTTTATAAATTCTAAGTGTGACTCCAAGCCTTTAAAACTGAGTTCTTTCAAGGTACGGGATGTTCAAGTTGCTGATATTGAGATTTTTATCTTTTGTTTGTGTAAGAGCAGTTAAATTATTATTAAGATATTCAGTTGTATTGCTTGGAAGTTGATATAGGCTTTTCTTTTTCTTTTCTGGTTTTGTTTTTACTATTGCTAATCTTAACCTAACGCCAACTAAAACTGAAGCCAATGTCTTCTGAAACTATAAAACTGTAAAACAGCAGGTTTGTCCCAGGAATTTTAGTTTCTATGAGATGGCGGACATGAGCATCAGAATTGTCTCTTTCTTTACTTCATCTGCCTTCCTTTCACTTTTTGAAGGAAAAGGTAGTTGCCTCAACTGTCTTTGCAGGCTGTGCATTCTGGACCTCTCTGGAAGTATGGGCTTCATCCTTTAGATCAGGGCTTTCAACCTGTTCACCTATTGTACCACTTTTAGGATATGACAACATCCGAGTACCACCAGTCGCCTAGCAAGGTGTCAAAAACTTGATGACCCCCCCAAAAAGGAAAAAAATAATAAAGTACAGGTAGTCCTCGACTTACAACAGTTCGCTTAGTGACTGTTCTAGGTTACAATGGCACTGAAAAAAGTGCCCCCGAAGGCACAGCCGAGCAAGACACCTGCCTGCCCGCCCAGCCGCGCTTTTCCTCCTGTCTGAGGTTTTCATTGTTGGGAGCATTTCTGTTGAGGATTGGCAGCGGGGGTGGGGTGGGGGGTGTTTGGTTTTTATTCCCCCCGTCTGCTGGGTGGTTGCAGCAGGTTTTGGTCACGTCACATGACCTTGGGACACTGTGACCATCATAAATATGAATCATTGGCCAAGCATTCTGAATATAAATCACAAGACCCTGGAGATGCTGCAACATTCCAGCTGATCAGCACTTCATCTGGGCTCAGCAAAAGTGCCAGGATCAGCACCGAGCTCCAGCTGGAAACTGGCGCTGATCCTGGTGCTTCCACTGAGCCCTGACAGCCCTGCACCTCCAACCATCTTTCACTCAGGCTTGTGCAGTGCTGCCGCTGGTTCAGCTCATTCCCCTCCCCCGCTACCACTTTTCTAGGATGGTCGCGTACCACCTGCCAGGTGCCAATGTACCACAGGTGGTACCAGTACCACTGGTTGAAAAGCCCTGTCTTAGATTCCCCCAATTGTGCATCAAATTGGAAGTACTGAAAATAAGCTATTATAGTCAAATTCTTTCACATCACCAGTGAGTTTTTATGCATATGAACACTTAACTAAATGGCCCTGTAATTATTAAATTCAGTTAAATTGAATTAGATCTGGTTGAAATGTTCTCTCAATATTATGTCAGTTTCAAAATACCCCCTATTTTTTTGTGGGCATGAAGCAGGTAAAACTCTGCAAGCAGAAATTTATCAATCTTCATCTTTGCAGAAGGTAGAAGGTAGAAAATTAGATTATATAGGAAAGATAATTCCATATAAAAGCCCATAAGACGTATTTTAGGACTTATTTAAATAAATGTTCTAAATTATAAACTTTGTGAACAATTCCTTAAAATACAGTAAAATAAATCTAATTGTTAAGTCCTTCGTTCGATGGCGAATGAAGATCATACATGGTAGAATCAATAGCTCTTTATTTCTCCTTCTGCTCACTCCAACAACAACAGCGAGGCTCGCAGGCCTCCTTTTTAGTGAGTGGATTCCCAGACAAAACAGCAACATTGATGGTGCGCTTTCGCGCCTCGTGCATGCGCGCAAGGCTGGCACCTCTCAGTCTGGTCCCGGGTAGCTTGCAGAAACCCTGGGACCATAGCAATGTCCCAAGCCTGCTTTTGCAGGCTCAGGACACAACACCCCTTCCCCCTAGATGAAACTTCTTTTCTGCAAACATGTGCGACCTCCATAGGGGACGTGGTATATAATTCAATTAATCAAATGCATGGAGTGTGGACATGGATGTTACCCTTAAGCCACACTTTTTTTCCATTCTATCATTTTGGGAATAAATGTATCTGAATTCCAAAAAGTACCACAACAACTCCGCCATTCATTAATGGCATTTCTGCCGTGCTTCCCTGGAACTTGACAGCAACCTCACAAACTCCCTAAGATGTTTGGGTGGGTATTTAACCCGTTGTGACATCCTCAGACCCAGGGAACTCCCTTGGCTCCCCTGCTCACCTACCAGGCTAGGTGTGCCCACTTGTTGCTGCCCCATGTTCCCAGGTGATCCTGGTTCTGTTGCCTGGCCTGCTTGCTCACCCACCAGGCTCGGCAGGCCAGGACTTTGCTCACTCCCATACCTGGTTGACCTGCTCATCTGTTGGCTGGCTGGACCCTCTAAGTCCAAACCAGTATCCCTTGGAGGGGTGGTATTTTCCAGGTCCACAATGGAACTTCCTTGGAAACACAGCCCCTCAACCCCAAACCCGGCAGATGAATGGTCCGGGGTAGTTGACGTGCCCCATTGCCTTGTGGCCCCCCAAGCTGTGCCGGAAGTGCCAGAATCAGGAGTTGCCTCTCTACTTACCCCCCTTCCAGATACTTCCTTCTGGGAGCAGTTGCAGAATTGGGCCAGTTCCTTTGTGGTGATGCCAGTTCTCTTGTATGTCTTGATTTGTTTGGATACCCTCAGTCAGTCTCCCTGTCTGGAGTACTGTTTGATGTATGTGAGTAATGTGGAAACCCCCTGTGTGACTCCCTGGCTGGAGTAAGTGTTGGTGTGGGAAATGTCTCCCTTCCCAATGAATTCCTGTTGGGAGCACTTGCGGAAACTAGAGATGGGCCTTCCCCAGCCTCCTCAGTGGCAAGTGACTGCTGATAGTGATCCCCAAAATACACAATATAACCCTCCTCCCCCCCCCCCAGAGCAGAGCCAGGAGCGGAAGAGGAAGAGTCCAGTCTTGTACACAGCTGATCTATGTGCTACCGGAGAACACGGCCGTCGTCCAAGGACA